CGCAAAACGTCAGAACAAGGAAAAGCCACATTAATGCCGCACAGGAAGCATGAAACATCAAAAGAGACTGCTGATCCCCCGAAACAGGCTCTCCAAGAGAGAAGCTGCACAGTCGTTTTAAACACTGATACCTCGTTTATTCAATGATTTGCATTTCATATCGTCTGCCCCAGTACAGAAATGACAGTAGGTGGAATATAACACGTTAATTCAAAGAAATCTAAGTAAGTTAAAAGTGGCAAGACATCAAAGCTTTGTACTATTGTGAGACATATTTGGGCTAACATGTCGAGTGTTTTGTGTGTGGAAGTTTGCTGGTGTGAGCGCCTTGCCGTCTGGACATTTCATCTGGATGATTCGCTGTTCACAAAGCGACTGCACTGTAAGCCGAGATCAGCGGGATGTTCTCTTTCTATACTGTGATTTCTGAAAGGTAAACTGTGAATTAACGGGTTCCGACGAGAAGGGATGGACTCATAAGGTCGCTTTGTGAACAGGCTTGTGGAATTGGACTTTGTGGTGAGAGCTCCCGGTTCGGCAACAGCAGAGCTTGAAAACGACAGTACTGACCCCGACGTGATTTGAACACGCAACCTTCTGATCTGGAGTCAGACGCGTTACCGCTGCGCCACGAGGTAATGTTATAGCACGGGTCCTACTATGGTTTCTAAACTGTGCAAGTACGCAAACAGAGAAAATATACAAACAGGACAAAAACTGTGCAAAATTAATACGGCAAACAGTGCAAAAATAATATGGTGATTAATAAATAGTACAACTAGTGTTAAAACACAGTTTTAACTACAATTTCGGCTTACATTCAGTTGTCATGCATGTAGTGGTGTAGGAGTGCGTGTGGTGTGACATTAATGTGGCGTTTCCTTGGTCTGAAGTTTTGCGAGAAGCACTGAGGTACCAGGATCTTGTTGAAATGCCTCTGTCAAGTGTGTTTAATTGTGTTAAGATCAGGCACGCTTGGTTCGAACCCAGGATCTTCCGCATGTAAACTACATGGCTTTCAGCCTTTGAAGAGGGTCTGGGGTTGAACACCCATTCACACCAGACAGAGGCATTTCAAGAAGACCCTGATACGCCAGAGCTTCTTTCAAAAGTTCAAAACAAATAAACACCGCTCGATGCAATTCCAGAGATTCTCTTTGATTTTCAAAATAGAACTAACAGCCTCGGCAGATCAGCACCTAAAAAAAGCATTGGCTGACCTCAACGTGATTCAAACACACAACTTTCTGACCTGGAGTCAGGCACGCTACCGTTGCGGCACAAGGTCACAGACCGACTAAATTATTTCCCCAAAGAGAGCAATCAGCGTCTCTGCAACTTAAGAGTTTTTTCATTTTCTCTTAACCTCAGCAGGACTCCGCTGAGCACTGCTGCATAAGTACCACGCGCTGACCGATGGCGCCACTGTTTACATTTAAATACAGCGCCTTCCTTCTCGGAGTATGACGCAAATACAGAAAGATCACGACCACCGGATCTTTCAGTTGTGATCTTTGATAAGTTGACACCAGCGTTTGGAGTTGAACTGTATTGCTGTAACTCCCTGAACTGCTCCTCTGGAAATTGGCCCAGTGGCACCTAGAGGTGGAGTAGCAGACACAGGCATCAGACTAGCGATGTACTCTAGAGACTATGAAAGTGTTAAACTGCCACTGCTCTAATATAGTCATAAAACATATCTCAGAGACTGGAAAAACTCTCTCACACTGACACTATACAAGAGAGACTGGAACAGCACTGTCACACTGACACTACACAATAGAGACTGGAACAGCACTGTCACACTGTCACTATACAATAGAGACTGGAACAGCACTGTAATTCTCCATTGATTATGTCATTTTACACGTCATGGCCAGGAACAAGGGTGGAATTCAACACATAGTTGTCTTCGCGATAACATCCAAACTGCCGACAGACTTTTGATCAGGAGATGAACCTCCGCTCCTCGGTGTTGAGCCGTTTCTTTGTCCTGTTCAGCAGGTCACCTCTATAGCTCCAGCAGGCTCTGTGGCGCAATGGATAGCGCGTTGGACTTCTAGATTGTGGCTAAGTGAGGTCATTCAAAGGTTGTGGGTTCGAATCCCACCAGAGTCATTTTAAACATGAATACCTCGTTTATTCAATGATTTGCATTTCATAGCGTCTGTACCAGTACAGAAATGACAGTAGGAGGAACAGCTTAATTCAAAGAAAACTAAGTAAGTTAAATGTGGCAATACATCAAAGTTTTGTACTGTGAGACATATTTGGGTTAACATGTTGAGTGTTTCGTGTGTGTTTTCAGCTGTGCTGAATCAGTCCTGCCCGCAGTATTATTGGGGACTCTGGGTTTGAGAGCCTGTTTCTGGGGGTCCAGTGCATTTCGGAGACCCTTGGGTGAAGTGAAAACGATACACTCGTTTTACGAGACATAAAGTCGTACTTCTCACGGTAGTGCGTCTGACTCCCGATCAGAAAGTTGTGAGTTCAAGTCACGTCGAGGTCAGTAGATACTTCTTAAGGTGCTGATCTGTGGAGGCTGTTAGTTCTTTTCTGAAAATTAAAGAGAATCGCTGGAATTGCATTGAGTGGTAGTAGTTCAGGTGGGTAGCTGTGTCAGCATGCGTAGGCTGCAAAGGAACAAGTAATAGGTTTATTCCATGCTGAAGAAAGAGAACACAACGTTTCGGCTTTGGAGTACAACTACTGTCATTTCTGTACTGGGACAGACTATATGAAATGCAAATCTTTGCATAAACAAGGTATTCCGAGGATTTAGTGTTAAAAATGACTCTAGTGAGATTCGAACCCACAACCTTTGAATGCCTTCACAAAGCCACTATCTAGAAGTCCAACGCGCTATCCATTGCGCCACAGAGCCTGCTGGAGCTAAGGATGACCTGTGACCTTTTAAATATTACCTTTTAACTATTCAAAAAACAACATCCAGCGCTCCTGTCGGAAAAGAATGAAAAAAATCGGATACGTTCAGTTCCAGGGTCGGGGATTGTTCTCTTTTGCGCAGCGTGGGCTTATGACCTCGTGGCGCAACAGTAGCGCGTCTGACTCCAGATCAGAAGGTTGCGTGTTTCAATCACGTTGAGGTCAGCGCTCGCATTTTCAAGCTCTGCTGTTGCCGAACCGGGGTCACAATGGGTGTCATGTTTTGCTGCTGTCGAACCAGAAACCCTCACCATGCAGTCCAGTTCCGCAACCCTGCTGTGTCTGTGCCTTATAAATCTATCCCATCTCGTCAGAACTTGTCTTTTCGCCAAGTGTCATTCGCATATCTCCGCATACAATGACAAACAAAATCCCTCAGATCTCGGCTGCTGTTGGTTCTTTGAAAATTCAAAAGCATCGCTGGAATTTCACCGAGTGGATCAATTTCACAGAGGCCGAAAGCAAGTGGACTATATCAGAGCCTCTCTGTCGCCATCAGTTAGCGCGTTCGGGACGCTGAGAGTTTCTTAATGAACACACCCTCCTCCCTTCGTGTCCCGGGACTTTTACTAAGATCAGATACGCTTGGTTCGAACCCAAGCAGGGGTCTTCTGCGTGTCTTCTACGATTCTCTTCAATTTTCAAAGAAGAACTAACAGCCTCCGCAGATCAGCACCATGAAAACCTTAAAAATAACCCACTGACCCCGACGTGATTTGAACACGCAACCTTCTGATCTGGAGTCAGACGCGCTACCGTTGCGCCACGAGGTCACGGACAGACTGCATTAATTCCCCAAAGAGAACAATCAGCCTCTCTGCAGCTGAAGAGTTTTCTTCATTCTCCCGTGAGGAGTCCTACTCTTCCGAAGAGAGTCTCTTCCGCCCAGACCACGGATTGTTCTCCCTGCCCGGCTCTCCCACAGAGAGCAGACACGTGAAATTCTCATCGTGACCTCTCCCAGGAGGAGCACAATTAACAGAGAATCCTCTCTCCATTTCACAATCAGTGAAAAGGAGAGTCCACTGTGGGCTGTGCTGTTCCCGACGAGCTCAGGGAGCAGGTAGGTGTAGCGCAGCTCCAGCTGGGCGTTTTGCGAGAATCACTGACGTACCAGGATATTATTTAAAATTTTCAGTCTAGTGTTAAAGGGTGTTTGATTTGTAATTTCTTTTGGAGGGGAGGGCACTTGTTTCTTTGCTCTTCTATCGCCATGTGTTTTTAAAAGCGAGAGACGACACTCCTAATTCTTTGTGAGTTTGGTCTCTCCACTCACTGTCCCCGGTTGTTTACTCTCCTCCTGTTGTTTCCACAGGACAAAACAAGCTGTTGTGGAGGGAGAAAGGAACTGGTTCCACTGGGGCTCGAACCCAGGACCTTCTGCGTGTAAAGCAGACGTGATAACCGCTACACTATGGAACCATCCGCCAAAGAGATTGATTAATTCCATGAAAAAAAATATTTCCGTAGTGAATAAGTTATTGAGAACAGCACCTGACTTCCTATCTTAAATATTTACCCAACAGTGGAACTGTAACTGGTCACTACAGGAGCAAGTATCCTAATATGGGGGCTGTGGGGGGGCAGATTCGTGGATGCGGCGAAGACAACAATGGAGACAGTGTGTGTCTGCTCTCCGTGCGAGAGCCGAGCAGCAGGAACAAGCTCTGGTCCAGGTGGAAGAGCAGCGCTCCCAGGAGAGAATAGAGCAGGACTTCCTGCAGGGCTGGGGACACTGTTTGTTCTTGTTTGCAAATAGAAGAAAAGCACTTGAAATCCACCGAGTGTGTCGTTTGCACCGAGACCGAGAGGCTATCGCTCGCCATGAAAGTCATTTTATGGTCTTGTCAGACTCGGGTGGGAGAGCTGCAGCCCAACCCTTTCAGGAACAAAAAAAAAGTCACGAGGAGGGTGAGAAACTCCAACAATTTATTTTGATCAAGCCCGACATTACCCTAACTCACGGAAAGCAGTATGGTACCTACTCGATGGATATAAACTTGATTATTCCTGTAAGCGGTGCATACCCCCCCGTCAAAAAAAAAGCCACTGAACAGAAGGTTCTCTTGACAGAGTTCAGTTTAATGTTCAAACGCTTGCTTATGCAAGAGCATATTTTGACCCCTTGGATGAGAGCTGTGCACTGGGGAGTGTGGTCCCATGACTGAACACCAGGGGGAGCCATCTGCTGCCTTTCTTTCCAGATAAGGAGAGCACTGAAACAGTACTGGTACACTGCTAACTGGTGGCCACTTTTCAACTCCCAACACTGAACCACACCCACATCATAGTTAGAGTTGAAATTAGCCTTTCCTTGCAAGGCTCAGGCTTGTTCTGGCTGAAGGCACCTGGATCACCAGGCAATACACAGCTCTCTAATCTCCATGTGCAGCAGATTTCAGCTTCCATTTTAAAAGCCAATCCTTTCGGATGAAGCCCTGGAGTAAATCCCAAATGACCAAGTGTGGCACCCCGTGCTGTGGTGACCTGGGCACTGCTAGGCCTGGTTCAGAGGGCAATGCTGTTCTCGATGAGCTCAGGGAGCAGGTAGGTGTAGGGCAGCTCCAGCTGGGCATTTCTCTCCTTGATCTTCTGGCTCAGTGCTGCCAGGTCTTCCTGCAGTTCCAGGATCAGCCTGCAGGGGGCATCTTCAATGAAGTGCTCCCACGGATACTGACCAAGAGCAACCTGGAGGTAGAGTGGCAGGTACAGGCATTAGACTGCTACACCACTAGAGGCCACTGTCAAGTTGGATAAGGCAATGGAGTAGGCCAGGCAATAGCAGGACTTACAAAGTCACTGGGCTGCTTGCTGAGGAGCCAGGTGGTGGCCATGAGGCGCACAGTGGTGTTGATATCAGGCAGGGCCTTCAGGATGTCACTCATGGTGGTGCTGCCCTTCGTGATAGGAGGAGGCCATTGCAGGCTGGAGGGGCTGTTGGGCATCCAGCTACTGAAGTCAAACTGGGAAACAGTGGTCAGAAATGAGCTTCCTCCACTCTGAGCTGGTGCAACCCTGCAGCCTGACTCCCAGCTAAGGTCAAGGGAGGACTTTGGTAAGTCTGAACAGCAGGAAATTCATCAGGCACTGCTGCACACCAAGCAGCAGGGCACTGGGGTCTCTGCCCTGTGCCACTGACAGTCTGGGTGCTTTGAGGGCATGAGAGGGCACTATACAAGGCGTCTCACCAGGCCGCTGTTGACGGCAGCATGCTGGGCCGACACAGTGAAAACCACCATGTTGACGAACTTGGTGACCTCTTCCAGCGAGGTGAAGGACTGTGGGATTTCTGAGGAGCAAGAGAATGTGGGGAGAAGTGGGGTTATTGGTCTTTTCAGGATGAACTGGACCAAGTCAGCTCTGGTGATTGACCACACCTGACCCCTGTCCGTGAGGCATCTGTTTGGAGGAACTGGGGTGTCCTGCAAGCACCCCCTCACTTTGTTGGAACCGTCTTGGGGTCACAGACAAAAGAACCCCCTCTGACCTGATTCGGGACGCTCCTGGAAGCCCTCCGTGAAGATCTCTTTGATCCAGCTCTGCAGCTCTGTGTCCTTCACCACCGCATTGTCGTCGGGATAATACACTTTCACCATCCCCTTGACAAACCTGGGGCCAATCAGACACACAGATCATTCAGGTCACATCCACTTGCCCCAGCCAAGGGTCTCTAATCCCCCCCCCCCGCCACTGGAGCACACACTGGCATCCAGACAGCACCACCTGTTGATGGAGTTCCAGAGGCACAGGCCATCATCCCTGTAGTAGTAGTTGGGCACCGACTCCACCCCTCGTGCACTAATGTCCTCCGGCAGACAGAGGGAGCTGTAGGTCAGGGACTGGACAGCTCTCTCCAGGATCTCTATCAGCCCAATTCCTCCTATGGCAGTGTGCTGCAAGATAGAGAGGGGGGCTGTGTTACAGTTATTGTGATGGAGTTTCCAACTGAAGGAAGCAGTTGACCCCTTTGTCAATTCCAGGTCAACAGCTTCAGATCTCAACATGCTCTCTCTAAACAATTAATTCTCCTACAACACCCCAGAGTGCAGGACAACTGGTATATTCCACAGTCCAGGGGTTACAGACACTGGAGGCCCAGGTCTGACCCCATGAGTCTCATCATCAGACTGTGGGTAAAACACCTGGGTCAAAGGTCAGCAGCAGGCTCAGTCTTGTCACTGTTGTGTCAGGTCACAGCTGGGATGAGGGAGCAGGGCTCTCAGTCCGGGGTATGAAGCTTCAGGTCTGAACACTCTGAGATCTGCTAACTGCCCCATCTCCATACCTCACTGAAGACCCCGTCTCTGCCCAGCAGTCGAACCCGGGCCATGATGTTGACCTGCAGGGTGTACCGCATATGGGGGATGAGAAGCTAAAGGAGGAGACAGAAGGGGAGTTATGGAAGAGATGACTCCAAAACTGACCACAGACACTGCAGCCTCCACTACATAGTGTGGGTTTTGATCAAACGCTCAGCCACAAACTGGCACCAGCCCTGACCACGCTGTTACCTTGTAGAGGGGATGCACATGGGGCAGGTGGTGCAGCGTCGCCATGGTGATGACCTCGGCCAGCAGGTGCGTGCGCAGCAGGTGGGTGACGACATGGTGGTGGCTGAAGTCGGCGCTGCGCACGCAGATCTTGGCCAGGAGCCAGTCGATCCCATCGCTCGGCAGGAAGATCGGGTTCTCTGGCCCGGCCCACTGCTGTAACTGATGATGTCGATCGAGTCGGGTTGGCAGAAGAAGTCCGAACTGACACCGGATCAACACCTTATCTGGACAGCTTGAGTTGGGCGTATTGAACTTGGTGCGTTTGAAGAAGATCTCCCGATTCCCCCAGACCTGGACCTCAGGCTTATGGTTTACATGGAGACGTGTGCACAAGTCATTACCATGATCCCAGGGCTAGTTCCATTTTTTTTTCCCCTGTTCTCCATGATACATCCGTGCAATACTTCCTTGTATAAATTCCTGTTCTTTGACAATTTCTAATCCTCTCATTGAAACTGCACCCAATACTACCCTTGCTGGAGTCCACCAGGGGGCGCGGCATGAGCACTCTTTAGGACATGGAAAGGACATAGCAGAGCTGTGTTGGGTTCTTGTGGGCAGCAATTGCCGGCCACACACCCCATAGTCACATTTTGTGCACCAGCTGCCACACAGAAGGGTGATATGTAAGGGACCCGAGGAAGCAGGTGTCCTGGGACCCACCCTCTCCCAGTCTCATACCTGGATGGCAATGGGTACCAGCTGGTCACTGGTCTTCTTGTACAGCAGACACAGGGGTGCCACCATATACTGCAGCCGATTGTTGATCAAGTTGGGCGTGATGCCATCCAGCACTTTGTAGTCACACAGGTAGATGTTGCCCTTCTGTCGGGAAGAAAGGAGAACAGCAGAGCAGGATGGCAGAGTGGACTCCATGGCAGAGATCCAGGTCCACTAGATGGGCAGTGAGGTCACTAATGAATGCACCTCTCCTCCAATCAGATCTCACTCTCCTGCCAGGCTCAGTAGAGCCCATGGCCTTTCAAAACAATGAGCAAGTAGCCTCGCTCCAAAATATGAAGAGATGGTCAATTATAAACAAGTGGACATGGGAAGTTCCGCAGTCCGGCCTACCAACAACTCCTTTTCCAGGGTGCTGCCCGCCTCCAGGAAGGGGTTGACCAAGCAGCTGGGAACAGGAAAGTTGGGGGGCAGCTGGCAGCAGCGCTGAACGACCACAGGGTTACAGCCATTGAGACACTGGTACCCCAAAAACCAGTCTTCCTCCCAGTGCTTCTGCACGTACCCTTAGAACAGGAAAGCACAGCCTGAAATCAACTTGCAGACTGTCAGACAGATCCAGCACGAGACTGCGGGAGCGTTTTCCAGAGCAAGAAGCCACAGCTGTTGAAACCCACTCAGAAAACCAGCTGCCCCTCCCTACCGGAGACCATGGTCTTGTTGAACCAGAAGATCCTCTTGATGTCCTCCCACTTGGTCCAGGGCTTCTTCCGGTCAGCCAGGCTCCTCAGCTTGAGTTCATCCAGACTGCAGGACACAGGGAGGGGTGGAGGACATGACTGGACTGGCCATGTCCATCTACAGGAGGACAGGCGATACCACCTAAACCCTTCTCTACCCAGGAGACCAAGTGTTCAAGTGCAGATCCCAAGCACAGCAGAACCACTCTCCCTCAGACCCGAGCGGTGCTTGCAGGACCGTGAGGAGCAGGACTCACGCCGTCTTGGACCGGACAAGGAGATCCATGGCCTTGGTGAAGGAGAAGCGGGCATCATGGGGCAGCAGGGCAGGGTCGTCAATGCCGACCATCTTGGGGAGACCCTCTCTGAACACAGCCCACCTGGAGGAAGAGTAATGGGAGCAAAGCCACCCGAGGTCAAGGGTCATTCAGTCCAAACTCAGGTTACTTCTTGTTTAGAGCCTCTTGGTTCCATTGATCACCGGGCCTCGGACCTGCTCTTCGTGAGGAAAGACAGGTCAGGACCTCTAGGGGAGTGAAACTGGGCACCTTATCAAACAGGAGATCTGCACCCTGATTGGGGCACTGTCCCACTAGGATTGTTTGGGCTGGTAAAAGGCACCTTGATTGTGCGGTTGTTGAAAATAAAAGCTCAGTCTTCACCCTCCCACTGGCAAATCCATGAGATTTAAAAAAAGGGGGGGGGGTACAGGCTACCCTTTGAAGGAGTCTCAAGTCACAACACCAGGATTGCCAGTCTTTGGCAGGCTTCTCTAAAGCAAAATTTACTTAAATGTAACAAGCCAGTAAGCCAAGGTATGATGTTAGCCCACTGTAACCAGTTCAATGTGGTCATTCGTCTCTGTTCCATTAGCATTTTCCTTATTTTTGTTGGCAACTTGATTTTCAAATCACATGATGGACACTAGGGAGCTGAGATACTTGTTTTTTTCTGACTTCCGTTTACTTCAGGTTGCTATGCTGATGGCTACAGAGGCTTTGTTTACACGCATGGCCAGCTGACCCATCTGCAATTTCCCCTCACAGGATTAATAAAAGTATCCATCAATGAGTGAGCCCATTACAAAACATAGCAAGAAACTTAGTTGACCTTGTGTGCCCAAACCGCCAGCTCATTTTAAGGGTTGGAAAGCAGGGTGAAGTGGTCACCCTTTTACTGCACTGAGCAGAAGACAGTGGAGCCCTGCCAAGACCCAGGCGGAGTTCAAACCCTTTAGCCTGACAAATCCAGATCCAACCTGGAAATGACCTCCTGCTGAAACCTGATCCAGACTAATCAGAAGCCCGGAATGGCAGTGGGTGCAAAGCACACAGGCACAACGGACAAAGAACATGGACAACTCACTGAGTGCAGTGGAACACGAGAAAAGCAGCCTCTCAGACATTTGCCTCTCAGTGCCCTACAGATCAGGTATGTCAGAATATCAGACAAGGTCTTCCTGGAGTGGTGTAAATGGTTCTCTACCGGCACCCCAGGTGTTCGGAATTCAGGCAGTCTGGGCATTCACAAGAACATTACATGATTTCCCCCCCAACTCTGGTGAACTGCTCGAGGCAACAGCAGACCTGGCTCATGCCCGTTTGCCCATCAACACTTGAGATTGTGCAGATAGGGAAGGAAGAAACCAAAGTGGGAAAGGGGCGAACCTCTGGCCAGATCACCACTTCCATAGTCGGACATTTTAAACTTCACTTCACGCCCCACCGTAGATCAGACCCACCTGTACAGATTATGGCATAACTCCAGCTCTCCAGTTCTCTGCTGTATCAATATGGGATGCTGGTCCTCAAACACCTTCTTGGCTTAAAAAAAAAAAAGCATAAAAAGCTTAAAACCAGTCTAGAGCTTCTGGTGTCCCCTGCATCCCTCTGATCACAACCCTACAGCCAGACGCAAGGAAAAGATTTCCAGGCTTAAGCACGAGAAACCCTGACCTTTGCCCTCCCTCAGCTCCACAGCCCATTTGTCCGACACCCAGCGGTAGCAGGGGAAGAGGACGGTCTCCCCGCTGGGGGTGGTGACCTCCACCTTGGAGCAGAACCAGTCGTCGTCCGGCAGGAAGAAGCACTGCTCCTTGTCCAGGCGCACGAACAGGAGGTCACCCAGCAGGTCAGGGGCGGAGACTGCCAGCTCCATGACCTGCGGCAAATGACACCCCAGTGGGTTAGAGTGCGCTGGACAGCTCTCTGACCGGGCAGGCAAGACCTGCAGATAAAGGCCAGTACATAGTGAACACGCATCTGCTGGAGTAAGAGTACAGTCTAACACACCACACAGCTGTTCTTACAAGAACAGGGGGTCTTAATACCAGCAGGGCAGAGCCTTCCTGAACAGACACAGGAGAAGAACCAAGTCTCATCTATCCCCAGGCAAGAGGAGACCGGATATTTTGGTCATCAATGGTATTTTAAGCCACACTATCATGATCTAAGCCCACTCATCCAGACTTGATCTCCACAAGCCAGAGTGCTATATGAAGTCCCCCTCCAACACCACCTCCACAGGCATTTCCCCTCCTCACCATGCCAGAGGACAGGTCCTGGCCCTCAGTGGAGAGCACAGTGCGCTCGCTCCTGTCCTCGGACCCAACCAGCGTGATGAAGACCCGGTCGAAGGTGCCGGAGTGCACCATGTCACCTGTGGTCACGGTCACCTTGTACGTTTCCATCCTGCTGCTGCTGAAAGACCTCAGCGACAAGAGCATTAATCCCCCCCATCTGTGAGCTTTTATTAAAGGGTCCCACTTAGAACTCACCCTCCACCACTCTCTGTGTAAAGCATCTCTCTCCCCCATATAAACAAGCCTTTCTAACCTCAAACGGCTTCCTCAGCCACAGAATCTGATGCTAGCATTGGAAAGAAGAATGTTGTCTTTTACACAGAGGGCTGCAGGAGTCCAGGGCATGGGGTATCATTCATTGTTGTAGGGGCTTACAATAAAATGAATGAAAATAAACATTTCAAAGGAAGAGTCACTCAAGCCCATGCCCTCCCAGGATCATAGGTGAAGAAGGCATCTATCAGTCTAGATCAGCCCATCCACTAGCACACCTGCAGAAGCTCAGGGGCAGCCAGCCAGCAGAGGAGCTGTGAGCATCGCATCGCTGGCACACGAGCACCTGTACAGACTTAGACACAGAGAGCTCAAAAGTAACCAAGGAGAACGTAAGCATACCCACCTACAGTTCATCCACCCCCACCACAAAGCTGGAGGCCAGCAGCTTCCCTACAAACCAAACCACAACACAAACAAACTGAAAAACCTGCTCTCAATCTGCTTTATAAATGTGCTTCACCCGCCCAGCTGTGTCAGACCCACCTGGACCCAATTAGCACCTGATTGTGCCCGTGATGTCATCATTCCCACGCTGACCTGTAGACAAACAGCCCTAATGAGGATCTAAGTGCAATTATCTCACAGGGAAGTGGGGGATTGAAGCTGACCTCTTGCATGCTGTTATGACTCAACGAGCTGACCAGGCATTATGTATGATGTATTTACCTTGTAATTTGGACCATCTGCACTTTGCACTATGTTTATCCTGTCTACAATGTCTGTGTCAGTGTCCTGTCTGCCTGTATTTTCACCGTGGACGAGGAGGAACGATATTTCCTTCCACTGTGTACTTGTATACAGCTGGAGTAAATAAGCGTGAACGTGAGGCACTCACGAGGGGGTCGAGGAGCCTTCTTCAGCTGTGTCACGTTGTGTCTCTTTTGCTTGGAATAACAGGTTTGCCTGTTCCTTTGCAGCCCATGCATACTTACGCATCTCCCTCCTCCAACTTTTGTGTGTGTGTATGCATGCATGCATGCATGCGCGCGCGTGCATATATGTCCACGTGTGTTTATGTGTGTGCATCTGTGCAAGGGTGTTTATGTGCTCATGTAGCTGTGAGTGTGTATGTGTGCACGACTCAGACACAACACTGAGCTCGGAAGGGAGTGAGCACCAGCCAGCGTGGCTGACTCAGGTCAGATGGGCAGCAGGCCAGGTGGACACAGGAAAGGACAGAGAGAACTGCTGACCACAAGGTCAGACTGAAACCAGTTAACCCAGGACACAGACCGCAAAGACCTGGTTCACCCCAAGACAGCAGATGCAATAATTAGAACAAGAATCAGATCTCTAGCCCAGTTTTATTGAGGGCAGCGAGTCCAGCGGCCAGCAGGGGGCAGTGCAGCTGAGCTGGCAGCTCCTGCCAGAAGTGCTCCAACTGTTTCAGTGGTGCTTCCTGGTCCTCCTCCTCCTCCTCCTCTGGCGCTTCACACTGGACCTCCTGACTCGCCTCCTCCTGCGCACTGGACGGGACGCTCGTCTTCGCCTCTTGGCCATGTCTGCGGTCTGCCCGAGAGGCGGCGCTGTGCCCTTTTTAAAGCCTCCGGGAACAGGCGCTGGGCGGGTGCCGGCTACGTCTCGAGTGAGATCACGGGGCCGCCCCTGTTACCTGACGATGACGTCACCGCGCGTGGCCTTCACGAGTTTTTCAGGGATTGACACGCGCTAAACGCACAGCACCAAAGGCAATTTATTTACCAAATTGAATACAATTTGTTTTCATGGAGAACATACACAAGAATGAGAACTACTAATAAATAATAAGGAATTCGTTTTTTATTATCCGCTCGTTTTCCAACTGATTTATCCAACACTGTGGCGCACATTATTATTATTATTATTATTATTATTATTATTGTTGTTGTTGTTATTATTATTAGCCTTTATTTGTCATATGTACATATACGTTAGAATTCTTATTCGCGCCGATCTCTCGGCACATGCTCGGTCCAGCAGACGGCACAGTACGACAGACAACTGTAGTACAGCCGTGTGCGTGGACAATACATTACAAAACGGTACAGAATAGTTATAGTATGTGCGGACTATCAACAGAGCAATAACTACAAACAGAGCAAAAGTCTCTCGTTTGACAGAACTGTCTCGCCTGTAGCTCTATTAGTAGTACTAGTTCTATTAAAAAGAGCCCCGATATGAGGAGTTTTTCCAAGCACAGTAAAATAACCCAGCACGTTGCGCCACAATGTTAGATGCGGAAAGGCGAACGGACTCTCTCTGCCCGCTTGCCGGGGTGGGGGTATCTGTTCAAGGACCGCTCCGAGATGTCCCTCTTTCCTTTTGGTCTTGTTTGGAGATCTGGCGAGTCCCGTGAATAAACACATCATGCCAGGAAAGGCTATTTCGTTTTGTACAGGTCAGGGCTTCAAGGCTCTTCTGCAGCGTTGTCCGGTGCTTGTAATGCGAGAATCTCGCCACTAGAGGTCGCGGAAAACCGATCTCTTCAGATCGATAACAATACCGTAATGGAGCAAAACACCTCGACCAGCCTGGATTGTTTCACACTCGTACATCACTACTGCCATGTCTCTGTACGCCTTCCGCAGGGTATGGATAAATCAGTACTTCAGGGAGGAGAGCCGTAGGCTCGTGAAAAGACCCCCCCTCCTCCGCCTGGTCCTGATATCTGGCCCCCGTGTGTGCGAGAGCAGCACAGCTGTAGTGGACAGCACGCGTCTGGGGATCCCCGCAGGAAGAGCTGTCCACAGAGCCAGAGGGGCAGGCGGGCGCTCCGAAATAACAGCTTATTATTTCACTGAGACACGCAGCCCCCGCGGAGGCTGAGCACGCAAGTAACTTAGACAAATGAGCCAGGTCTGACGCACCATATTGATCGCACTTAGTAGGTCGCCGAATATCACGGTTAGCGACAGCCAGGCGATGGCAGATGCGATCTACTGATCGATGATATATTGGGCAAATGCCTGTAACCAAGGCGATTTACAACCACCCGCACGTTAGTAAATAAACAAAGCCGTATGAAAAACAGAAACCCAGTACCATAATATACTTTCGCCCATTTTGACGGTGAGGCTAAATCTGTTTTAATATAGCTGCTCTGTCTTTCTGGAGGGTATGAGTCCAACACAGAGACACGGAAAGGGGGAATTTAGGACAGACACTGGTAGCTGAACTTGCGTGTTTTTAAGGCAGTGGAGCGGAGTCCACACGGGGAGACCATGCAAACTCCCCACCCACGGCCACTCAAGATCAGAAAGGAAACGGGGAGCAATGTCAGCCTCTGTCTGCTGGATCAGCGCGAGAGAACGCGAGGGGGGGTGATTGCCGACCGATCTGTCTACGGGTCCACGCGGGGTGAGGGGGCGGAAGTGATCTCCATTCTCACCGGCTTCCCCCGAAAGGGTTAACGGGCGTCCAGATAACGCGAGGCCCGGGATGTGGGCGCCTCCATCTTGGATTAGGCCAGGAAATCCAGACACAGAGATCCGTCGCCTGTAGCTACGGCCCTGCTAGCTAGCTAACGAGCGAAACAGAGATGGGGGGGATGTGAAATCTTACGTAAACACACATCGTACTTTCACACAGGAAAGGCTATTTTCCGAAACAAGCACGCACGGCAGACAACTGGAAGTTTTTTCCCCGCAAAAACCTTCAAAATAATACGGGAAAAGCGAGACCGAAACAGATTTGTCGACTTCAAACGACTCGACGACTGTAGTTGAAAGGTAAGATCCGAAACCGGAAGAAATGTATTTTTATGGTCAGCACAATTATTATTGTGGCGATGTGCACGGACTGCTCTGTCGAATGTTTTAATTCTGGTTGCACACAAAAAAACAACAACTCTTCAGTCTTGAAGGTGCGGTACTTTATTTTAGTCCCTGCAAAACGAAAAAAGTAACACTCTTAACTTAGGTAGCTAGATCATTGACTTAATATTAATTTTTAACATTATTTTGAACGCTCTGGGTAGCCTGCCTATGTGTGATGCATACCACTGCGCAATCGACTGGCCGTGTTGAGCAAAAGGGTTATCAAAAAGTAAACAGGCTAGGGGCTTTTTAAAAGTGGGTTTTCCGGTTCTGGACAAGATTAGAGACTTTGTTTACACCGCGGTTTGATGTAGGAGCCGTGCGAATGCATGTTAGCTGATAAAGTAAAGCCAGCTATTTGTGTAAAATGTGACTTATTGTTCACATTTTGTCCTAGCAGCTCGGTTGCGAGAAGTTGATAAGGGGGTGACTGTTCTTGTGTTTGTTTTTCTAACTGTGACACAGGGCACATTCTAGAAGAACATAAAGTGTCCGACGAGAGCAGCGCCGTTCGGTTAGTCCTGATCGTTTGGTTTTCTGAACAGCCACCCGGGTCCGCGGTGATCACTGGAAGTCTGGCTTCTGTCACTGTAGGGTCTTTGCTGTTAGTGACATTATTACAGTCCAGGTCACTGTGGGGTCCTTATTGTTGGTGACATTATTACAGTCCAGGTCACTGTGGGGTCCTTATTGTAGGTGACAT